CCAATCTAGTAGACGGTGTTCAAGATGTTTAGCGTAAAGCTTGCCTAAAATAGATAAAAGGTTGATTGGACGAAAATTACCAGGCTGGTCAAACCCACCTTTCTTGTAAATTGGAATTATTATTGAATTGAGCCAAGTGTTCGGAATTTTGCCATAATGATCAGTGAGCGTAAATAAGGAAGCCAACGGCTGGGCCCACCAATCAACATGTTTTTTAAGTAGTTCACTGGGAGCCCGTCCGGTTTCAACTGCAGTTTCTACTTCTGTCAGAACTGCGTGCATCTGTGCAGTGGTCAAAGGAAACCAGGAACTATTAGGGGTCTCTTATTTCTTTGGGGAATAGATGATTAATATAGCTTGAGGAAGCCTGATTAAAAAATGATAAGAGACATCAGTGACTAGAAACCCCTTATGGACTTTTTGCATGAGAAATAATATGATTATGTGATTTACGGTTTTGATGATTAAAAAGAATAGGTTATAGAAAGAATAGGGGAGTTGTGATGAAATTGGAAAGAGTGGTTTGATTAGAATTGTATGCATAACTGCTGAAAGGGATGTCGGAAGCCATTTCTTTATGTATATAATTTTTTTCTCTTTTTTTCATGCTTTCTGTATTTTTATTTTCTTCTTTTTTCTATTTTCTTTTCTCTCTGTTTGTTCTTTTCTTTTTCACACTTACCTTGCTATATTTTTTCTTTTTTTCGTTCTTTCAATGTATTTCTTATTATCTATGTAAAATCTATTAATAAAAATTATTTCTCAAAAAAGGATATGAGACAGAGAGCGTGACTCTCATACACTTGCCACCTTTGGCGATAGGCATGCAAGGGTAATGAATACTTTTCTTAGGAATCAAGAGAGGTAACAAATGGATACATTTTCTCATTTCCAGATTAGGCAATTCTTATTAAGCCCATAATCTACACAGGTCTTTCCAGGGAGAGTCAAACTTTGCCAACCACCGTGATGGTGATTTTGCCTGGAAATAAAAATTGACTAAATAATATTTATATTTGTATGATTTGGCTTTTTATACATTCATATTTACCTTTTTTGCCAATGCTTACCATATGTATGTTTACCTTTGAAATAAACTTAATTTCTTCTGTTGCAGATATTGACGAATGCCGCATCTCTCCTGATCTTTGTGGCCAAGGAATCTGTGTCAATACTCCAGGGGACTTCCGCTGTGAATGCTTTGAGGGCTACGAAAGTGGATTTATGATGATGAAAAACTGCATGGGTATATTATTTATGGCATATTTGCTCTGGGGCTGAAATCCAGTCTTGTGAGGTCCTTAAAGTCCAAATTACTGGGGCTGGTTGGCACCTGGCCTTAATTTTTATTGCAACAGCTGTGAAAAAGAATTACATGGGGGAAAAGATTCCCTTTAGATATCTACAGTTTTTGTTTCCTGTTTTTTAGGCTGATTTGGATATGCAAAACTTCATTAAGCAGCTCAGTTTTGCAGACCTTGGGAGAGATCAGATGTTGGGTGTGGAATGGACAATGATTAAAAAGTTGTTAGCTCTTAACATCTATTGTCTGCATTTTAGAGATTTATATTTTGGATTCAGTTTAAAAACATGAACTGTTTTTAAACTGAACTGTTCTTATTTAATTGCAAATTTCATCAATGCCCCCCCTGGTCTAATTAATTACACTTAATAAACAGCTTTTATAAATTTGCTGAGGGCTTATATTAACATGAAAACAACATATATCCTTTTTTTGGGGGAAATGTTTTCCTGTTTATATATCAATGTAAATCTAAATTATAAAGAATTTGCCCATTTCAAATGATGACATGTGCATTCCTATGGAGGTTGTTTATTCTTATTCAGAATCTGAGAGGTAGAAAGAAAAGCTGCCTTAATAATGAGATTGGACTCTAACGTACCTATCTCACATTCAGTTCCAACTCTGAATTATCATTTTGACAGTTATGATCAAGAAATTGTAGTTTTTCTGGTTATTAAAAAAATGTATATATTGTAGAAGAGAATCCTCTTTGGGATGGATGACTTTTAGCGTCATCCATCAAAACGAATTATGTAGCTATTCTATCTTAACAGATTTTTTTTCCAGTAGTGCAGGAATCAGCAATCTGTAGTTATTTTAGACTAGGACTCCATCAGATGCAAGGAAGTGTAAGATTTTAAAATATCTGAAGATTTCCACCTTGCAGTAGGTAAAGAAGACAGAAGTATAGAGACTAGGAGACAAACAAATGCAAGATATTGTCATGGAGCCCATTTCCACCTTCCTTGTAAAATTTCAAGAATGAAACATAATGATTACACAATAGAAGGTTTGAGCTGTGCAGTTTTCTTTTAGACGTACCATTTATTTGACTTTTAAAAGGCTGTATAACCTGCTTCCCCAATCTGTTCCCTCCAGATCCCCACTGAACACATCTAGAAAGTGTCAGATTGAGAAAAGCTGCTGCACCTTTTCTAAATTGTGATCATGATGCTCAAAACTAGGCCTATGAGATCTGTTTTCTTCCTCTTGGGGAGGGAATCTTATTGGTGGTACTAATGGATGAAATAATTCTCCTTTGCCCTGTTTTTTTGGAGATGTTTGATGTCTGCCCAGATTCCTACCAAACACATGAAAACAAGGTCTCGGTATGTTGCTTTGGTCCAGAATTAACTTCCAAATCTGGGCAAATTCAGCAGAACTAATCTGGCTAAGTCACTCCATCTCAGCAAAAAGGGAAGCAGCCAGACAAATGAAGAGTGGAAGACTGGAAGGGGGCAGGAAGTGGAGAAACCCAACTGATCAAGGGAGGCTTACTAGTTGTGGGGGCTCTCTGTGGGAATAGCATTTGAGAAGAGAGATGTTCCCTTGTGACAGGGAAAAGGAAGGAAGCAGCAGCTGGAAGTTGGTTAGAATAGTTGCTGGCAGAAGAGAAAAAGATTCTTGGGGAGGAAACATAGAGCTCCAAAAAGCAAGTAAACATGCTCGCTCTCTTTCTCTCCCTCACGGCTGAAACTTTAGATCCTAACACGCATCCCCCCTCCCCTCCCTGCACACTTTCACAACCAATTTTTGTTCTTCTTTTGCAGATATTGATGAATGCGAAAGATATCCTTTGTTGTGCAGAGGAGGCATTTGTATAAATACTGAAGGGAGCTACAGATGCGAATGTCCTCCAGGTCATCAGCTGGCTGCCAACATCTCTGCCTGTATAGGTATGGTGGTGGGAAAAATACATCTTCCGCATCCTTGCTTCTTTTACAGTTACAACTTGACAGGCCTCCATTTTCTTGGCATTTGCTTCTCAAACCCTGTCCTGGCAGTTTCTCAAGAGCTTTTCTTTTTAAACATCCTGAATAAGGCATGGAAAGAATGACTCATCATCCTCAAAAACAGGGCAGGCTCCCAAAATCTAGATCTGTTACCTCACCCCGTGCCAGAAAATAAGTTTAGAGTAATCCTGGATCGCTATAGATTAAAACATTTGCAGAGGTCAGGCATTCCACTTTTCTTTCATAGTGGTAACTGCTTTGGGGAGCTCTTTTTAGGAGTTTCAGGCATATGCGCCATCTAGTCATAATTGATACAAGAAACCTGTAAGGGAAGTCAGTATCCTCTGTTTGACAGATGGAAGGGCTGGGTGGGAGCAATGCCAGGCAAAATAATCAGTTAGCAGCCATCTTACAGATAGTCCTTGTTTAATGACCACTTGTTCAGCAATCATTTGAACTAATGGTGGCACTGAACAAGTGGTCTTTATGACCGGTCCTCAAAATTCCGGCCATCCCAGCATCCCCGCAGTGGCATGATTATGATCCAGGTGCTTGGTAACCTGCTCGCACTTACAATGGCTGCAGTGTCCTGTGGTCATGTGATCACCATTTGTGACCTTCCCTACCAGCTTCCCACAAGCAAAGTCAATGGGGAAGCCAGCAGGGAAGGTCACAAGTTGCTCTAGTAAGTTGCTTACACCCTCCCCTGCCTGGCAGCAGCCAGCCTCGCCCTCGCTGCACTCATGCCTCATCAGCCACTTACCTGCCTGCTGGCTTGCTTGCAAGCCACCTGGGACTTGCTTAACGGCCTCCAATCCTTGCTTAATGACAGCAACGGGAGTGCCATGAGTGGCGTTGCCAAGCAGTGTGGTCACGTGACATCATGCTTTATGACCGCATCACTTAGCGATGGAAATTCCGTTCCCAATTACTGTCGTTAAGTGAGGACTACCTATATATCATTGCTTATCATTAAATGGATCACAAGCCTGTGGAGGAATTGTAGGCCTGCTTGTTGTGTATTTTAAGTTCACATGGAGGTTCTCTTGCCATCTAAATAATAGCATGGGTGAGCAATTTGTTTTAATCAAGGGAGGAGCATGCTAATGTCAAAATTATTATTATTTCTCTCTCTCTCTCTGTTTCTTCAAATTATTTCTGGGGTCTGAGGGACACAGCAGCACTGTTGATGAAGTTTCCCTGAAGGGGATGGGGGCAAAACTAGTGGGCTTTACACAAAAGGGGCAGCGACATAACAAACCTATTTTAGGATGATGTGTACGAGGGGAAAAAAAACAACTTCCCAAATGCTGTTTTGCAATCAAATTTTGGTAGTGTGACTTTTGGTAGCAGTGGAGGCCACAGCTACAGGCTGCCCACCGCAGCTGTAGTTGTTTCTGTATCTAGAAGTTCAGAGCTATACCAAACACTGAACGACATAAACCATCGTAGGATCATTTCCACCCTGTATGTTTCATTTCGGCCTAGTCAATACAGTATATGGATCCGCGAATTTAACTGAAAATACAAAGCATAGCTGAGGATCAGATAAAATGCTGTTGTTTCTGCCTTTTTCTTCTTAACTTTTCTGAGTAGGATCATTAGACTGGAATTCGGCTTAAACTTCCTGGCAAAATCTTTAAATCTTGGGAAGATTTATAGCCCTCTGCAGCCAGAACTGAGTTTTTGGCTCTTTCAGAATCTGGGGCACCCTGTTCAGTCCTTTTGCCTTTAATTTCATCTTCTCTTGTTATACCTTTTGCTGGATTATCCCTTCCTTTTTGGCTTGTTCTGGGTACTAATAGAAATGTTCCTAACAGCATATCCTCCTGTCTGTGTGCAGTGTTGTTGGAAGGCAAGGGGTTTAGTGATTTAAATGGCCCCCTCTCTTTGCTTTTCAAACAGACATAAATGAATGTGACCTGAGTCTAAATCTGTGCAGGAATGGACGTTGTATCAACCTTATTGGAAAGTACCAGTGTGCTTGTAACCCTGGATATCAATCTACACCTGACAGACTCTTTTGTGTTGGTGAGTTGTCTTCTTCTGAATCAGCTGTAGCTCATGCGGGGAAAAAATCATTGCTCATCTTTTTTCCACAGTTGACATAAAGTTTGTTTATTTATTTATTTAATTTGTCCTTGCCCATCTCCCCACAATGGGGGACTCATTATGTAACTAAAGTTACATAAAGTGGCCTATTGAAACAATATGTTTGTAATTGTTCAGCAATTATGGTACTAGTAGGAGAAAAGATGAAGTTTCCCTTGAATCACAATCTACTCCTCGTGACTACATGGACATATATATGTAGTTTTCTTGGTAGCAAGAGAAGCAATTTGCCCTCTTCTTTTAAATTTTTAAATTTTCCATTCTAACCTATAGCATGCAATTTCCTGTCCAAATACTGATCAAGTCACCCCTGTTTACCATTTTGAGTTCAGCCAAGCTAGCTGGGCATTAATCTGAAAAAAAAGTCAAATTCTCTTAAAGTCCATCTTGACTCCTGGACATTAGGTAAACCAAATTAAAAGATAGTTGTTGACACTGAGCAGTCTTCCCAGCCAATATCTCCTCCCTGTTTCCCAAGGAACACCTCCCCCTCCCCGTGTACTTTGAAAAAGATGGTCATTAACAAGAATGGCTGACTGGAGACAGTGATTCCAACCTCTCATTATATGAGTGTCTTGTGCAGTGACTTTGATTTGGGAAGTTGAGAAGATTAGAGATCTTGTTCCCAGCAAAAACTGATCTTCTTGAGCCCCTTTTGAAAGGGAGAGAGAACTGCCTGAGTGGGAACAGCTTCACCCATCTGTGTTTTTTAAACTTTGAATTGTGTGAGCTTGGTGACTTCCAAGTAGCCACAATAACACTTTACAGAGCAGTGTTAATGTGGGTGCATTTAGGCACTACCACCATCCTTATAAAACTGCTTTCTGACCAGTTGTGGCTTCTAAATAATCTTCAAAGGTAACTCTTTGTCCAGTGCCTTGCAGTAATCCAGCTGTGAAATTATTAGGGTGTAGATCACCAAAACTATGAGATTTCACCAGTCCAGGTAGGGTCATACAAGCTTGCCACTGAGGCAACCTGGGCCTCTACCCTTCAGTGACAATACTGGGATCAAGGGGAGCCCCCGAGTTCACCTTGATTCCAGTCCACAGCCTAAACATTGTTAGAAAGCATAGTAATTACTGTAATTTATAAGACCATCTCCCTTTTTTTCTTTCCAGATATTGATGAATGCAGCATAATAAATGGTGGCTGTGACACATTCTGTACAAATTCAGAAGGCAGCTATGAATGTAGCTGTAGACCAGGATTTGCTCTAATGCCAGATCACAGAACTTGCACTGGTAAAGTACATTTGTGAACATTTATGTTACCTAGCAGTTCCTAATGTCTTGGCCATATCTCTGACTTTCTGTGACCATAATGTATCTTTGCTTGCCTGTTTATTCAAATGTGAGTTCCATTGAAATCTGTGGTACTTATTTTCAAGTAATTGTGCGTAGGATAGGAGCCCTAGTTTTAGTATATGAGAGCTACAGACAACAGGATTTACTGGATATCCAGTGTGGTGTAGTGGTTAAAATATTGGGGTAGGAGTGGGGAGACCAAGGTTCTGCTCCACGGTCAACCACTGAAACTCACTAGGTGCCTTTGTACCAGTCACTCTCTTTCAGCCTACTTACAGAGGGGTTGTTGTGGGAAAAAATAGGCAGGAATAAGAAAAGTGGAATATGCATCTAATTAGAATTGATAATGGAAGAAATGCCAAGTAAGCATTCACTAGTATGCCAATTTATTTTCAGTTCCAAAATTCAACTCCCCAGAATATAAAAGCTGCTTTTCAAATTCTGGCCACAAAGAAATAGAATTAGGGTGAGATGAAAAGAGTGTCATGGTTGACCATTTTATTTATTTATTTTATTTTATTTATAACAACCAGCAAAAGAAAAAGAAAAAAAAAACAATCCTTCCCACCAGGTATGAGGCCAACCAGTCTATTAGCCTCCTAGCTCAACCCCCCTCCTAGCTCAACACTTGAGGGAAGAACCAGGTCTTCATATCTTCCAGAAGGGACCCCTTGAATTTCAGGTGGAAGGCCATTTCAAAGGGCTGGGGCAGCTACAGAGAAGGCATGCCTCCGAGGTCCCATCAGATGACAGCACTTAAGAGAGGGGCCTGGGTTCAGAGAAGGAAAGACATAAGAACAGAAGGGGTGAAAGTATGCATGCCAAATTTCAAGCAAGCAAATCGCAAGTGTAAAGAAATAAAACATTTGTGCAAAAGAAATCTTTTTGCATGACTATTTAGCTAAGACTCCAGATCCAATCTGTTTTCGAGTGTGATCACATCATGTGATTAATAAATGAGCAGTAGCCAGCAAGATATGTCTTCCATGTTGTATTTCCTTACAAAAACAACTGTTAGAAAACTTTTTGTTTGTTTGGTGTTAGCTATTCAGAGAATGAATAATGATAGCAGTCTCTTGGACTTGTTATTAAAATGAGTTAAGTTTTCTGCAGCTGCATTAATTCCTAAAAGCCACAATAGACTCATTTTTGATGAGTTACACCCTTTCTTTCCAAAGAGAAGATTTTCAGCCCAATTCTTTGTTTTGCAAACATTTATTTTGAGTAACCAAGTGAAGTTTTGGATATTAAGCTAGTATGTGGTGACCTTGATAGGGAAAATCCTGAGAACTTATACAGGGGATTCAAAAGCACTCTGAGTTAAAAAGAAAAAAAAAAGACATCTTAATACTTGCACAAGATGAAATTTCTAGTATCTTATGTCAGTCTACAATCATTAATTATAATCACTGGTCTAGAAGAAGTTTTACATACCAAGTCGTACAGGGTGAATTCAAGCAGAAAGAGGACATATAGAATTGACACAAGTGTTTTAGTAAAATATTAAAATCCAAAAAAAATTGCATGGACTTTCCTAGGTTGATAGATACAAAGGAAAACAGGGTTCTTATTGTACAATTGTCACTTGCTTGTGAGATAGAAAGCAGAAAACTAACTGTGAATATCTATATGTGACTTTTTCTTTTAGATATTGATGAGTGTGAAAACAATCCTAACATCTGCGATGGTGGTCAGTGCACTAACATCCCTGGAGAATACAGGTGTCTTTGCTATGATGGCTTCATGACATCAGAGGATATGAAGACTTGCTTAGGCAAGTGAAACATCTAATCTTGTTGACATTCAGTCTGTCTTGTGATGGAATCAAAGAAAGAATGTTGAGTTTCCAAAGCGAAGGAAGCAGCAATTCTTCATAAGAAAGCCAGGCATAGCCTATGGTGTTGGACAAGGATCAGGGAGGTCTGAGTTGAGGTCCACACTCTTCCATAGAAAATCACTGTGACTCAGACCAGCCGTTCTCTCTCACCCAGTCTAGCATGCAGTGTTGCTGACTGGGAGCATGTAGAAAGTATGATACATATGCTGTCTTTTGCTTCAGGAGCAAAGGCAGGATGGAAACCTAATAAACAATTGAATGGTTTTATCCAGATGGTGTTGGACTTCCAAAATCTCCAGGAATTGATTGGGAATTCTGGGTTTGTAATCCAATACATCTGCCAAGCACTAGCTTGGTAAAAGGGGCAGAATCAGTTTGCTTTGCCACTGCACATCAAAATATCACTTAATATTGATCAGTTAATTTGTGGATTAAGTTTAAGTGATATCTCAAAAAGTCTCTTCCTTTAACTGAAAACAGAAACATATCTATTTTTTTGGTAATAAAATTATTAAAGGCATCTCAGATAATCCCACTCTGACACATATGTAGACTTTCTTCATGTTATCCCTGTCCAAGAATCAGAATGAAATCTGAAGAATCTACTATGTTTTTTCTAAAAGAAGCATATAATATAATGTAAGGCAAGTTAAGAAATACTTGTTTTGAAGTGAGTCTTCAGAAGTGATGGCTTATAAAGGGAACAGGAATTCCCAATTTTTAGATTTTTAGTGCAGAATACTTAGACCTTGTAATTGTCCTTCTGTGCACACAGAAATGCTCTGAATGTAACAGAAAATCCCATTATGTATTTATGTACTATTAGAAAGTTTGAGCCAATTATACATGGAAATTATAAAAAGTAAGCATAAGGAACACTATATATGCCTACAAACAATTGGATCCTTAGAACACATTGATGTTATCCAAGCATGACTGAACAGTACAGAATTCTTTGGGACCATTAACACACAATGACAGCCTATTCTTTTGAGATTGCTTTCAAGGAGTGAAAACAATTATGATCTAAGTTCAACAAATGCTGTCTTGTTAATACCCTCAGGGGCAGAACTCAGCATCCCTAAGGGACCTGAGCTCCAGATTTTACCAAATACTAAACAATCTTATTTCCAAAGCCGTAGTTTTTTCTTGCCAAAATTATGAAGCTCCTTCTTCGTTAATACTTTGTTTCAGTACATAGTCAAACATTAATCACATTTTATAACTATTAAAACTCTTTTCCCTCTCCAGATGTTAATGAATGTGATCTGAACCCAAACATCTGCCTGAGTGGAAGCTGTGAGAATACAAAAGGTTCTTTTATCTGTCACTGTGATATAGGTTATTCTGGAAAGAAAGGAACAACTGGTTGTACAGGTAAGTTTTATGTATGTGGGTGTGATTGTTCTTTAAAAGATAATGCATTTTATATTTCTAAGCTCTTGTGTACATTAATTTAATAACACCCATAACAATAGGATTAATTTAAGATGAACTGGATTGCAGAAGACACGGATTTTGCCTTTAGTGGTTGAAACTTAATTATTCAACACATTGTCTATTTTCCTTCTACCAAGATAGTCTTTATTTCTGCAATACAATTTTCACAGTGCTACTTCTTTTTTTCACTCTGATAAACCCAGAAAGGAGGATTCAGGGGTATCTGCAGGGTGTGCTCAAAAAGTAAAAATGTTGGCCGCAATACTGTGGTCAAAGCTCTCCCTGTTTTGAAATGTGCATCATTAAAGATGCACAAACATGATTCCTTGCTTTTCATGCCTTCAAAATTCTTGAAAATTGCTTGAAATAGTCTGGCTTATATTCTTTCCCTCATGTTTCTTTTAAGAGAAAGAAATAATATGTGTACATGTGTGTAAATAATAAAAGATAATCCTGCTAAAAGTTGGAATCAAAAATCCTAGTTCTAAAAAGTTTGAAACTAATAATTTAAAAGACTTGGGGTAATAAACTGGACTGAGTACAGAATTGCCATGTTACTGTTGCCATTATGCTAAATTGGCTATTGCTTGCCCTTTGCTCCGAATGAGCTGTCAAAATGCATTTCCAAAGTGGCAGCAGTACAAATCCTTAAATGAGTTATATCAGAATATATTAACAAAATCAAAATGTACATGATTTTCATATTATTTGCCAGCCAAAAGGACTGAAATTTTAAAACTGGAAAATCCATCACACGAATAAAGTGTAATATTTAAACCAAGCTCTTTGAAATCAGAGCTGTGGCTTAAAATATAAATACAAATGTATATTTTCATAATTTTTTATTACAGATTTAGAACAAACATATTTTGCAGACTCAGGTTAGAGAAATTAATAAGCGAGTAATCCCCTTTGTTAGGAAACTGAAGTAAATGTTGTAAAGCAAATATCAAACATATTTGAAGGTCATACATTCATGCTCCATGTCCTTCTAAATATACAATGTGATTTTTACTCTTGGGCCATCCTTCCAGCATTCTGTAAGTCAATCTACACAATTTTTAGAGGAAAAAAATGGGGGGACATGTATCTTTTTGGGCTGTGGACATATTATATTTGAACACCACTTTTTTTGGCTTGCTCTAAGTCAGAAGGGGGGTACCTCCAGCCCATTAGATGTTGCTGATCCACAGTTCCTTGTAATTCTCTCCACTGGCCATATTGATTGAGGCTATAACCTCTGGAGAGCCAGCCTTGTCCTAAAATAAGAGTTCCCAAAGGACTGGCTAAAGTGCACTTCCCACTTATAAGAACGTTCAGTGTAGCATACAGTGACCATTTTAATATTTCATCTGAACAATTCCCATAATTTCTTGGTAGCTCTCACTCTATTTTGATATTTTTCATATGATTGCATTAGTACAGAATTCAGAACTAATACAGGATTTAGCATCCAGGATGGTCTCTGGAGAACCTCAAAGAGGACATTTACATGTTACACCTCTGTTGGAAACAGTTACTCTGGTTGCCATTTTTCCCCCAAGCAAGATACTTAGTGTTGGTTTAGGTATTTTTATTTATTGATTAAATTTATACAGCCACCCATTTGCCAAGCAATCCTGGTTGCTGCCATTAAAGCCTGTATGGCTTTGGTCCAGGACACCGGGAGAAGGTTGTCTTCAAAATTATCCCCTACTTTGAGGCATCTAAGAAGGCTTGCCACCAGTCACCATGGGCTGGTCTGCAATCTTTGAGTGGAGCAGATTGACCACAAGGGTTTTTTTAATCATTGCTGATTATGATTTTGGGGGTCCCTCTTGTTTTATGCTTTCATCGCAAACCAATATGGTTGTCAGTAGTATAGAAAGTCTAATAGATAAGTGCAATTATTTAAATATTGTGTTCATATTTTGCTGCCCATCTGCGTGTGTGTGCATGTGTGCCCCTTTTAGTGCTCATCTGAACATTAACATAATATTTGCAGCTGCCCTTGGAAAGAGGACAGTAGAGGGGAGAGATCATGCTTTCATCCCAGTTGTCCAAATTCCTTTGTTAAAATGTCATAAAGCAACGTGTCTGCAGCCTGTTTCATTGCTCCGACAAAGTGCCAAGAGCTCTGTTTCCGATTCCCCAACAGGAGACCCCCAAAACATGGCGTGAAGTGACAATATTTTAAAGAGTGAGCCCTTGTGTCAAACTGCTTGACCAAAGGGAATGGATTCTTTTCTTCTTGCCGATGTGCCAAAGTGTTCAAGTCTTCTTTTAAGAATTGCAAAAATGTTCATACAACTTGGTGGAGCAAGCTCTTTCTTTCATGGAACAATTGCATAACACCCTGGGAGTTTGCTTGCCGTTGCATCTACATATTTCATTCCCCTTGTCATTACTGATTGTTTCCATTTTAACAAGTAAACAAGTTTTTTCTCCTCACCCCCCCAGTCGTTTAACTGTGTGCATATTCCACCCACTGACATGCAGTTGCATTCCACACAGATGTTAATCTTTTTTTTTTTGTTTGCTTCCATTCTTAATAAGTATGCAGGCAGAGTTTAGGGAAATGCTTTACTTTACGTAAAGATATACATTACTTACGGCAGACTATCTGGGCTGCACTCACGCTGTCATGTTCAATTATCTGAAATGGAAAGTGGACTGGGTCAGCTAAGGTATGTGCATATTGCATGAATTAGGAATACAACAAGTAAAAGGTTGGGAGCAGGAACTTGAAAGAAGTACTGTAGAAAAACTGTGTCCCGAGTTTAGCTTGTACGTCATCTGAGCTTCTAATGCCTTGCATTAAGTACATCTGATGTCTTATGAGTTCTCCCAACTCTCCTTCGCCAAATTACAAAAACATGATCTTATAAGTCTGCTGCAAGAGCTCAGAGACCGTTCCTGGCTTTTCATGAGATACCTAATGGAAATGCTACAAAAGGCATACAAAATGATCCCAAACCCAGCTTTTTTAAGAATCTCCTAGGAAAACTACCTAACATTAGGATATCTGTTCTGGCAGCCATTCCCAAACTCTCAGAAAAAGGTTCTTTCCCCCAGCTTGGGACCTACTCATTTTATCTGGCAATTGAACCTGAAACCTTCTTCTGAATGGTCCTTTCCCAAGAAGAATCCATATATCCATCCTCCCTAAGATTTTCTAAGTTGTTTGTTAAATGGCAACATTTGGCTAAGACTGTATTTTGGCTTGGCTACAAAAACATCCACATCTGTTAAATAAATCTCTTCAAGTCAAGACCGATCCTTCCCCACTTGGGGGGTCCCACAGATCTTATAGGGCAGCAACACCCAGAATTGTATTTGGACCAGATAATTGACCAAATCATAAGATCCCCTAGGTAACAGATTTATCCTGTGCACTATCAATCATTTGGGAAATGGTCATATTCTGAGTCCTCCAGCTGCAGCAAAGAAAACTGGAAAGTTGTCACTTTCTAGGGATTTCTTTTCTCCTGCCCAGAGTGGAAAAAATATCTGCAGTGTCATGTCTGGGGTTGACACTACTATGGTTAGAGGGAGAGGTTTGCCTACCCCATCCTCTTTGCTCCCTTTTTACTCCAGTCTCATGTGGCCACAGGGAGCAAAATGTAAGCAAGAGATAGGGAGGTTAGAGAAGCCTCATTTTTGCACAGCCTCTCTAAGACGTCTCACTTTTAGAAGTGGAAAAAAGAATTATCCCCCAGACAGTTCACCCAATGTGGTTTTAACAGTGATAGCTCCAACCAGTCTTGCAATTCCCTCAGTGAGAATGTTTGCATGACACCCTAACTCCTTTTATCCAGTTAAATGTGTTGTGCGAACAGGACCAGTGTGTGTAATTTGCATGAGTATGAGGTTGTACAATGAGAGGATCAGGGTCTGCTTCACATGGGTGATGTGTATGTGTGTGTCTATCTCTGTCTCTGTGTCAGTAAACCATTTCACAGTTTCTGCAGAAGTGCTAAAAGGAAGCATAAGTGGCACATACTGTATTTTCTCCTTGATACCAAGGAACCCCCAATTCTCCCTTGAAAGTTTCAGTGTTGCTCATTGGTTCAATAAAACTCAGCTGACTGTTGTCTGAACTGAAAGACTGTAAATGAGGAAGATGTGATGTTTCTTCATATTTTCCTCCCAAATGTCTTTTCTGCTTGAAACATTGCCTCTCCCCAGTTGATTTTTCCCATAAGGGAAAACATGTAATCATCTACATCTTTTTTAGATGTGTGCTAGTGTGCAAACTCAGAGTTTTGCGTGCCTACCTTTAACGATTCTAAAACTTGGTGGAATTGTGGTTGAAACCAATGATTCAGACAACTATACTTCCTATTAGCATGATGTCAAGTGGCCTGAAAAATAGAGCAAGCTGTTTGCATCATGTTAATGGAAGTTGCTTAAATAGATAAGAAGACATTTGTGCAAGTAGTAAGAAGAAGTAAGAAAAAATTTGGCTGTCGGGACTGCCTTAGACTGGAATATTTGTTTTTCTTGGCTAGCCATAGCTTCATACTCAAAAGAAAAGTTTGCGGAGAAATAAGATTGGAGGAGAGAGGGCCGATAGAGAAAATGTTTATACAGTCTTGACACCATGCTCCTTTTTTGTTGGGGCCTTTAGTCAGTTCAGTGAATGTGTTGCTCTTTTTTGGAGTCAGTTTTGGGTATCTTCAGTCATGCTGAGCGACAGCCTACTTCATAGTGATAGTACAAAGATCTCAGAGACCAGATAGGAGAACAAAAGAGGCTGTTTTTGTAACACTGGAGAGTTGAAATAAAATTTTATTTGGATTTGAATAATCAGGATATCAAATCACTAGTTTGAAAACCACTATTAAATTCCTTTTACCCCTAGATTCATACACTTCACAATAAAAATAGGCCTGCTGAATAACACAGAGCAGTTATCCTGGTGGTGGGGTAGACAACGCTTGGTCAGATCTGCTAAGTTTGTTGTTGTTGTGCCCTTCACCCCATTTATTTCACTTATCCCATCCTGACAGAGACAGATCTGAGGAAAGATGTTATCCCGTCCTTTCATTTGAACTCTCAGGGGATCTTAACATTGTAAAATAAAACCAGAATTATTACTAACAACCAGTTTTGTGCAAGATTATAATTACTGTGTGAATATTCTCTTATACTATCAGGCAGCTTATCTCCACGTTAGGACAGCCCCTTAGCATTTGTCTGATAACATTGGTTTATTTATTTATCAAATTTGCATGGCCACCCCTCTCAGAAAAAGTGTCTCTGGGTAGCGAACAACAATCCGGTTTAAACATACTGCCATTGAAAGGATGGAAATAATCTTACAGGTTGGTTAATCACCAATGCATCCTTCAGAGTCAATGCAGCGTAGTGGATGCTGGGGCCCACCTACAGGCATGGAAACTCACTGGGTGACTTCAGGGCAGTCACTCTGTCCTCAGCCCAACTCATTTCACAGAGTGGTTGTTCTGGGGGGAAATGGGAGGAGTGAGTGCTGTGTATGCCTTATTTTGGGCTCCTGAAGGAACAACAAGATATAAATGTAATAAATGAAACAAATCATGTTCTCTGAGGGATCTTTTTTGCTGTTGTAGATATAATTCTTGCTTGTATTTGTACTCACAAATTTGCCTACTTCTTCCCATACTGTCAAGAAATTGAGGAGGGGGGGGAGCATTTGCCCTGAGATATTTATGTAAAGGAGGAGACATAAGTGCGTTGCGGTTTATGTATTTGCTCATTCTCTCTACAGATATAAATGAGTGTGAAATTGGAGCTGATAACTGTGACCGGAATGCTGATTGTACAAACACAGCTGGCAGCTTTAAATGCAGCTGCAAAGTAGGCTGGCTTGGTGATGGGATCAAATGTGTAGGTGAGTTTGGCCATCTCTTCCTCCCTCCTCCCTTCACACACACACTATCTGGATCGGTCTTAATAATACTGAAATAAATTTTAATCAAACAGTGTCATAGTCCTAGGTTTGTTTCCTGTGGAATGAAATATATATTTATTATCTAAAAGTGATTCTTTCAGTATCAAATCCAGCCCTGTGCATCAAAACATGCACTTCTGCTACCTTTTACAGATGTTTACCTGACCTTTTCTTGAAAACTTGTAGAAAAGGAAGTGATCCTTCCTTAAGTCTCTTATATTGTTGCCCAGATTTTTTTAAAAGTAATCATTTCATTCTTTGAGTAATCTAAAATGATTTCCACTTTCCTTTCTGGAACCTAAACAATTCGACTCAGTTCTTATTTAAAAGATTTGCAAAATAATAGGCAGTATAGTAGCATTTACTTATACTGAATCAATTTCCACTAGCTTCTTCTTGGGTTTAAATTCTTGGTGCACTAATGCACCAAGCACATTTGAAAGTCTATCTTAAAATAGATATTCTGTGGGAATACCATTGGATTTTTTGTACTTTTAATATTCTAATCATATTCACCATTAAATTTTGTTTAAACAATCTTTAACTCTCTGTATTTAATAATCTTCCCAAGTTCTACAACAAGATAGAGGAGTGGGGTGTGTGGATTTCCAGACATAGTTGGGCTCCAGCTTCTATCAACCTGCAAACATGAGCACAGCCAAAAATGATGAGGATTATACTCTTATATTTTATTTAGGCATAATGGCTGGGTATGCTTCAAGAATGATTTGGAAGAATTGCTTCAACTCCTTAAAGCAAGGCAGATATTTTTCAGGCTTTAATGAAGAGACAAGAACTGCCCTTCTCCCATGACCTCCAAAGTACTTCTTCTAAATCATTTTCAAAGGATACATCCCTGTTATATATTTATTCATTTTAAAACATGTATGATCTCTCTTAGCTCTACAGAATTCTTAAAATAAAGCCAGTAATTTGTCAATTAAAAAAAAACATGGAAGCAGCCGTGGAAAATAATATTAACATCAAGAAAAGCTGTTAATAGAGATGTAAATAGATGATTAAAATTATAGATTTAATAATATCCTAAGGAAGGAGGACTTTATGAGTTTCTTTAATGAGGTGGTGAGATGATTCTTCCAGAAACAGGAGTTCTAAAGAGCCATGGGTTCCCAATCCCTAGCTTTATCTTCATGTTATGAAATGGCAATATTTGCTTCTGAATTCTGAATATGTTTCTACAAGTGCATCTTCCGACAGTAACCTCCCCTCTTCTTTTGTTCTTAGCTCCATCAGCCTCATTTTAGCATTTTTTCATTTTGCAAATTTCAGAGTTATTTAGGGTAGCAGTTTTGCCCACAAATTGTCTATAGTCATTTGTGTCACAAATGTAATACTACTAGAGTTTTCCTTTGCTCTTTAAGCTTGTGTATGCATTATCTTTTGCACAGATAACTGGAGATATTTATCTTATTAATGCAGTTTTTGTCCTCTTCAGATCTGGATGAATGCTCCAATGGAACACACCAATGTAGTCCACATGCTGATTGCAAGAACACTGCGGGATCATATCGTTGCTTATGTAAAGAAGGGTACACTGGGAATGGATTCACGTGTACAGGTGAGCGTTTTTGGGAGGGTGATCTGTTTTGACTGATAGCATGTCTTCTCAGGTTTTCACATCATATGCTACTTAATCTTAAAACAAGACAAAAACAAAAAACAACCCTGGAGAAACTGATATTGGACCTAGGACTTTTGGCATGTAAAGCATGAATTTCCTTAAAGCTTGTTTTTTTTTTTTTGGCAGATAGAATATACGGTCAAATCTCAAATGAAATCTGACTTTATTTATATTTGACATTAATGATAACCAGATGTTTATGATTGGTGTTTTGTACTGAAACTTTGTGTAATAGTAACAGATCTAGTTTTCCAATTTCTGTTCTGAATTATTTTGACTTTCAGAGTTAGAAAACATACTGTAATCTTCATAGAAGTATTCCATACTATACTATATGTTGATATGTTATTGGAAATTATTTTGTATCTTTATAAGTAACAATGCTTTCTACCTTTCCTATACCCATACATTTTTTATATTTCATATAAAATTCTTAACCTTAATTAGTAGTTTGCATAGAGACAGAATGCATTTTCAACTAAAGTGACTCCTTTCTCTTTTCAGATATTGATGAATGTTCAGAAAATGTGAACCTCTGTGAAAACGGTCAGTGCCTCAATGCCCCAGGTGGTTACCGCTGTGAGTGTGATATGGGATTTCTGCCAAGCCCTGATGGAAAAGCCTGTGAAGGTAATTGAGGGAATAAAATAGTTACGTAAACTTACTTAGACTGTAGCCCTATCGGTATAGGACTGGTTGGTTTGTCTTCTTAAAGTTTGAAGTCAAAGGTCTGACACTGGAGGGGAGATTTCAGTTTTGTATCTATCCTTCCATCCTTCCCTCCCATCCATCCATCTGTGCAAGAGAAATATTGCAGGAGATAGCCAAGAAGTAGAATAGATGTTGAAAAACAAAAGATAGTTAAACCCCCACAGTCCACTCGTTTGCCATACTCTCAAGCCAAAAACATTTAGACTGGCTACTATCCCATTGTGAACAATGTCATATGCAATTTTGGGGCTTGCCTCAAATGAAAACTTCATTATGGTCTTTGACTAGTGTAAGTTAGAAATGTGAGCATTAAAATTGGTTTTTAACTGTCTTTTTTTCAAATGTGAAAATAATTTATAGCAACTTGAGCAAACAATAAGAGAGCAAAAGGTAGTCCCCAGTTTAAGAATGAGTTCCATTCCCAAGGTTTGTCCTTAAGTCGAATTTGTATGTAAGCTGGAACAGTATTGTATAATACTGTATAAGTAGTATTGTGTAATTGTGTATTTAACTTGAATCACTGTGTATTTAACTCGAATTTTGCTATAGTAGGCTCTGTTCTTAACTATGGGTTGTCTGTAAACCAGGCGTTCTTAACCTGGGGACTATCTATATACAGATAATTGAGTATAACTTTTGGCATTGTTCATCTTAGGTAATGGCTATGTTAATTTTACATTTTAATTGCCAAGAACAATAAAATATAATATATATCAAGACATAATTCTTGTAAAAGCATGAAGGAGAAATATTGTACCCTGAAATAAACAGTTGGCTATAAAGGTAGATCCTGCTTTATACTACAATTTGTATATTTACAAAAATATTTGGTCATGACCAGAAAGTGAATGTTGGGTGGGTCTGTGAAAATGTCGAAGTATGAGTAGTAGGTCACTTAATTGTCAATATCTTATCTTAAGAAGCTCTATTGAATAAGGGGAACAAGTTGCGAGATCAGTTGGAAAGACTGAAGACACTCTTTGCTACTCCCACAGAGCACCAGTTAATTTCATTCAGGTTCTTTGGAAAAAAAAAAAATCTTTCTCACAGAAAATTGAAGAAAATTGAAATCATAGCTGTTAGGGGTGAAGATCAATGGGAGAGGGGGAATAAGGCACTAGAGAGGAGAGGGTTGGGCTTCATAATGATTGAATTTGTAAAGCTTTATACATGTTGTTAATGAAGAAGAAAATCTTATCTTCATCTGCTTTTGTATTTCATTTTTTTGAATATCTAATCCTGCGTTTTGGAGTCTGCAGAAAGAACAGAATGACAGAAGCAGTTTTGCATCATTGGGACTTAAGCCCAGACCCTTTTGGACATATATTATGATGTTGCACACATGTACGAAAAGGGTGAACCAACACAGCTGCTTTTGTTACTTTGACAAAAGTAGCAAGATTCCACAGATGCCCATGCTGTGACTTTTAATTCTTGCTTATGTCCAAAAAAATTTAACCATCTCCTATTTCTCCTCAACTGTCTCATTACAGATATCAATGAGTGCCTCCTTTCCAACATTTGTGTCTTTGGAACTTGTCAAAATCTTCCTGGCCTGTTCCGATGCCTGTGTGAGACAGGATATGAGTTGGACAGAAGTGGTGGTAACTGCACAGGTAACTTAGTAGTTTGGCCAATATGGTAACTGGCTTAACTTTGATATAATTATTGTTCATATAAGCCACCAAAACCATGTTTCCAGTATTTCAGGAAAACTGACTGAGCAGCTAGGGTTAAATGATTTTTCCTCTTGCATTTAAATGCATTTCATAGCCCTTAAAAGTTATAGTTTGGAGCTTAGTAGGACTTTAGTTATTTCAGTTATTTAGTTAGTTATTTTGGCCAAACTGGGTATAGCCCAGAAGTTTCTTGGATACTTGCAGCCCCTTCCTGTATAAGTTTTCCTAATTATTTTATTTTATTTTTTAAATTTATTATAGCCACCCAACCCCAATCTGTTTAAAACTTTCTTAAATCAAAATCCTTTTTTCTTTGTCTTTTTTTGCTTTTTGCCAATTATATATTATTTTAAATTCTTAAGTCTCTGTTTAAAATTTCTTAAATCCAAAGAAGAAGGTAAAACTCACCAGGTGTCAAATTAAGCTTGTCAATCCAAAGAAGAAGGTAAAACTCACCAGGTGTCAAATTAAGCTTGTCAATCCAAAGAAGAAGGTAAAACTCACCAGGTGTCAAATTAAGCTTGTCAATCCAAAGAAGAAGGTAAAACTCACCAGGTGTCAAATTAAGCTTGTCAATCCAAAGAAGAAGGTAAAACTCACCAGGTGTCAAATTAAGCTTGTCATTTTGAAGGTCTCTAATATCCATAAAGCGGTTAAATTGTACATTTTCAAATGTGATTAGAAACTGAGTTTGGCTGGCTTAGCGTTCTTATTAAATGAACACCTTATTGAATGACCACCAGGAGCCGAGGGAGACAACATCTTTGTTCTCAGCAGATAAGGACACTAAGCTACAGCCACCCAACTCCAATGTACTCTGGGCATTGTTCAAAACAAAACAAATCCATAAAAACAGTTAAAATCTAAAACCACACAGACAGCCCAGACTAAAATAATCTAAAAACAACACAAAAGAAAATAGGGCCCCCAGAAAATAATAGTACATTACAATACAATGCAATACAAACAACAATACAATACAATAATATTGGATGTGTTGGAATCCACCAGGGAAGGGAATAGTGGTTGAGGGAAACAAGAATATTCAAGCGATAATGTTTCAGTTACACAGTAGAAATAGCATGTGTCTTTTAAACAGAATAAATAAGTCTTAGGGAAGTACTTGAATGTATTCTTCTGAGTTAGTAGGTAGACCATTTCAGTTGGGAAGTCCTGCTTTCCTATGCTGCTGTAATTTCTTTAATTGGCTTAAACTCTTTGATCACTTGCTCACTTGTAGTTTAATGTCGCCTTTTTCTTCTGTACAGATATCAATGAGTGTGCAGACCCCACAACATGTATCAGTGGCACTTGCCTCAACATCCCAGGCAGTTACACCTGTGAATGTCCCCCAGATTTTGAGCTGAACCCAACTCGTGTTGGCTGTGTTGGTAAATATGGTTTTCTTTCACTAGTTACAAGGGATTCACGCCATCACATATGCAATTCTTCTGCATTTTTTCTGAATTTTTTTTCAACAGAGCCTTGGGGAAATGGTTGTTCTCAATTGCTATTTTTTATTCCTGATCTATAGTGCTTTGTCATGTGATATTTTTGGTTTTTGAATTTTTATGAATTTGTATCATTCCATGTTATTTGGGGCTGTAGGTTAATTTCTAGCGCTGGACAATATATTATAATTTATGTTGCAGTAAGCTGCTATACATCTGGATGAATCAATGGCCTACAAGGTTAATAAATAAGTAAATGATAGCAGTGTTTTGGGAAGAGGCAATAACTACATGGTTCAGCTCTTGAAATAAAAATATATACGTGACTGTTGGTAATTTTAAAAGTTTGAGAAGAGGAGTTGAGAAGCCATGGATGAATTGAGCAATGTGTGAACAAGAATGTCAAAGTAATGCCCAGTGCATGGCTTCTATGGGGACTGTTTTTTTATTCTGTTTTTTATGGATTTATGATATTTGAGCATGTGCTACTTTCATTTCTTAGATACACGCTCTGGCTACTGTTACTTGGAAATTAAACCTCGAGGAGATAATGGTGATTCAGCTTGCAGTAATGAAATTGGCATTGGAGTTTCCAAGGCCTCTTGCTGCTGTTCCCTTGGTAAAGCTTGGGGGATTCCTTGTGAACATTGTCCAGCTGTGAATTCAAGTAAGTGAGATGGAAAAAAGCAAAATTATAGCTAATTTATATTTTCATCTGCTTGCTTCCTAAGAGTTCATCCACAGGATACAATCAGGCATTACAGTGACGTAGTTTATTTGTAGAACAATCTGCTGACTTTGAAACAAACAAACAAAAGAGATGTACTTGAAAATAAGAATGAGAGTGGCAAACTTAATTTGGGGACATGAATTGAATTGGGCAGAGGTTGTGCATATACCACGTAAATTTATTATATGAGAGTAATCCTTGTTTTCACTCAGGGAATCTTCAGTTTGAGAGACTGAGGGTTGGAGAAGCTTGCAGGAGAGGAAAAAACCCGCCAAGATTGTAATAACCAAAATCTTTTTTGCAAAACAAAAATGCCAGATTCATAACATCTGTTTCCCCTTTCAGGTGATTACAAGCTGTTATGCCCTGGAGGAGAAGGATTTCGACCCAATCCTATTACAGTCATCTTGGAGGGTAAGGCATATATGTGTTCTTTCTCTATGAATCATGATATTACGTTGGTTATTTTTAGCCAAGCTTAGTTGGTTGGCTGTTCTTTTTTAATAAGATGCTATGGCTAATTTTATTTGGACAGATATTGATGAGTGCCAGGAACTTCCTGGACTTTGCCAAGGAGGACGGTGCATCAATTCATTTGGTAGCTTCCAGTGCCAGTGTCCATCTGGGTACTATTTGAATGAAGACACACGAGTGTGTGATGGTAAGTGAATCACAAATAATAATAATAATAATAATAATAATAATAATAATAATAATAATAATTTGATTTGTCCCCACCCATCTCCCCACAACGGGGGACTCTGGGCGGCTATGTTGTGTATTGGGAATTCTATCTAAATCTTCCTTTCCAAATTAGCCCTGGTCCCACCCATTTCCCCCTTGGGAAGTGTAGCCATCAACACATAACACAGGCTTTACAATGCCCCTTCTGTAAAGGGGGAAATAGCCTCTTACAAGCCACACAATAGTTTTCCACAATATACTAGAAGCATGCTGAACTATAGAAGTAAAAATAGGGTTAGCTAATTAAAGTTTGTGTGAAATATCCACTGACCTTTTCAAGCACCTTTGCCCATTCCTCTAGATTTCCTTTCTTAAACTATCTTGCTTTATTCATCTGTTACAGATTTTACACTTTCATTACTTAGGGTCTTATCAGTATAATTTCCTTCTGCCGTACAATACCAGTCTTCTGTTAATCCTGAGAAATTCTTTAATAGGTGGAAGACAAATGTTTATTATTCCCATTAACTTGGGAATATAGTTTTAGTCCGTTTTACCCATAAACCACTCACTCTAAACCAGTGTTTCTCAACCTTGGCCGCTTTAAGCTGTGTGGACTTGAACTCCCAGAATTCCCCAGCCAGCCATGCTGACTGGGGAATTCTGGGAGATGAAGTCCAAAACGGCCAAGGTTGAGCAACACTGCTCTAAGCAGTAGCTGAAATCTTGAGGGGTTCTGAACAAATACCAGTCCAGCTAGTCTTTGATTTCAGTTGGTCCTAAACAACAGTGACAAAATATCTATTCAAAAACATGGTAGTTTTGTTCTCAGCATCCAAACCTCTGTTTTATTTTTAGTGCCAGGACTGCATTCAGCAGTGAAATAATTTAAAAAGTGTCTCTTAAGCATGTGGAGATTCCTTTGTCTCATTAATAAATGATTGTCAGCCCACATGGACTTGGATAGCATGCAGTCTTTAGCTACAAGGAATCTTTCTTTCTTTCTTTCTCTCTCTATTGTTAATCTTAATTACCAGCTTTGTATTTTCCTTGCAGATATTAATGAATGTATCACACCTGGTATCTGTGGCCCTGGAACTTGCTATAATACCATTGGAAATTTCACTTGCATTTGTCCTCCTGACTATATGCAAGTCAACGGTGGAAATAATTGTATGGGTAGGTCTGCTTACATGACTTTTTTCCAGATTAAAAAGTTGTTGACTGTTTATTTACTCTGATCAAAGGGAAGAAATCCTCTGAAACAAATTATGCCGTTTCCCTAATGGAATCAGCGCTATTTTGGAGCAGAGGGAGGCAGGGAAGCAGGATAGGGTTTTTTTTACATAAATGTGGCTCCGGTAGGGTCATATTATTTTAGGAGTCCAAATGCTTACCCCCAAAGTAGTGAAGATGACTGAAAGATGATTCCAGGTTTTATTGTAAGGACTCTTGTATGTTGGAAATGGCTTTGGCACCATTTTTGGGCACATGCAAATTGCTGGCTACCATGTTTGTGCATGTCCACAACATACAAGAAATGGACCTTGTTTTTGTATCTATGTAAAAAGAAAAAAGCCCTCTTTTCTTCCAGCTTATATCATGGTTATTAAAGTAGTGCGGTCTGCATCATCCTGTAATTTTCAGTAGAACTGGACAACCTTTTGTGGTCAAGTTGGATGTAGTGAATTCTAGAAAGGGTTAAATTTCCTCATTTTGTCAGTAAGATGTGCATCGACAAGGTAGAACGAAGTTGGTTCAATATGCAAGGTCTGACTGCAGTACACAACCTTGTTATGTTATTTCAGGATTTACCTTCTGATTCAGTGCGTGTTATTTTAGTCTCACCATTCTGTTGAGTTTTTTTTTTTTTTTTGAAATTCCAAACTCAAATGAACTCAACATGCGTAAGCAAAGCTAAGCCAAAAGCATGTGGCATCATCTTCCAATATTTTTCCAGAAGGATATGAAATCATAAATGGAGCAAGATTTTAAAGAAGAGCCCATGGCTGATTGAGGCTAGCATGTGTTCTTCTGCCAAGGTTTTGAGGCACTTGAAGAGTGTGTTCTGCATTTTATAATTATGAAACCAAGTTACATTCGTGGGATTTTGGATGATTCTGCAAGCAAGACATTTTTCCATAGATAATGATGTAACTTTAGGGTTGTTGTTGAATTTATAGCCTTACAGTACTGGATTGCAACAGTCTCATTTAACAGGATAATAAGTAAAGAGAAGAGGTGGCTTCAAACAAATGACTTACTTATAAAATATAAAGCTAGCTTGTTCTGTCTCTAAAGGAAAGCTCAACCAAGATTTTTAGTGTTGAAAAAGTTGGGAATACAAATGCCACTCCTTCGCTTTCCTTAAAATTAGTTTTGAACATAATATACTGAAATGAATCAAGTTGCAGCTATGGAAGAACATTACTCTGTGCAGGTTCTGTGCATTTTTTGGTGGGCGGTGGAGGGAGGTTGCATAGAAGATGTTCTCAGAAGATCATATTCCAGGGATCAAGTTTTTCCTGTTTCTTGCTTCACTATTATCCCTTGTAAAAAAACAGACTGAGGACGCTAGTTCAAAACAGTTTGATGTCACAGTGGCTTTTTGATGTTTTCTGGTGCACTCTGAATTAAAAGGGTGCAATCATCAGTAAGTTCTTCTGTGAAATGGACACTGCCTCATCAAGCTGATTCTGCTATTCATAATGGCATTTAGGGATGGTTGAATCAATCCAATTCATTTTTTTCCTCATTTTCTTGGTTGAATGAATTTTAAACATGCATTTGCACATATTTCTTTTAAGGTGCACATTTTTAGATACAAAATATATTGCAACTTTCAGATGGATTCACCAAACGTGTGAACTACAGTTCTTCCAGAAGTTCAAGAGATGTGAACCATCTTAATTAATGAACTTCATTATGAACAGACTTCATTATGAACGAACTTCATAGAGTCTTCAGTAGGAAGCAGGATTGATACTTTGTGATAGTGACAATGATGGACATTGTGCCATGATATTGATATGCTTCCCCTCCCTTCTTGCAGATATGAGGAGGAGTCTGTGCTACAGAAACTACAATGCTGACAATCAAACTTGTGATGGAGAACTGCTTTTTAACATGACCAAAAAAATGTGTTGCTGTTCTTACAATATTGGACGAGCCTGGAACAGACCTTGTGAACAGTGCCCGATCCCAAGCACTGGTTTGTATTTTGGTTAGAGAAAAGAAAGAGAACACAGTTGCTAGTGACAGGCCAGCAGTTACCACTGTCCACTGTAGTAGCAGGTTTTATACGGTGTACATGGCTTTGATGTGATTCTGAAGGTTATTGTGCATCTTGGGAATATGTAAGTCCTGCAAACTGTATGGGCTAGCAACGGATATAGATCGGAGATGCAAAGTTTGGGTGAAAAGTACAGTGCAGTGATATCCTTTCTGTGCATATTTGGGATTTTGCTGGATTGAAAGTTCAGTCCAGCTGGGAGGATGAAGGTATCATTATGGGATTTTTTGTTCGTTTGTTTAGCTGTTCCTAGAAGGTTGGAAGTTATATGTCAGGGTTCCTCAACCTCAGCAACTTTAAGATGGGTGGTCTTCAACCCCCAGAACCCCCCAGCCGGCTTTTTGGCTGGGGAATTCTGGGAGTTAAAGTCCACCCATCTTAAAGTTGCTGAGGTTGAGGAACCCTGTTATATGTGATATGCTTCCTTATGAGCTTATATCTACTTACTGCTCTTGCATAGTCCTTGCAAAATCAGGTCAGCCAGACATGGTAACCATATAGCTTAAATGGGTATATAAACAACTATTAATGCCACTTGAATTGTTTCAATTTTGTTGAAGAGTTATTGTCTCTCTGCAACCAGAAGATCACCAGGTGATTTTAGACACATCACTGAACTTAACCTACCACATTGCCATAAGCCATGTTGGTCTCTTAAAAAACTTTCTGAAGAGCAATAACATAATATGATTTTATTACATAAGCATAAATAGGTATGTCTAACAAATACTTGAAACAGTTGCTACAAGAGTTGGCTGTGAGAGGCAGCAATGTTATTTTATTTCAGTAGATTTTTTAAAATTCACATGGAGTTCTTTCTCTTTTTTATCATTTTAGATGAGTTTTCAAGTCTCTGTGGAAGTCAAAGGCCTGGTTTCTTTATAGACATTTATACAGGACTACCAGTTGGTGAGCTAAATTCTAATGAGAGTTATTTTTAATCCGTATGGGAAGGAAGATATATTTTTGCCTTTTCCCAGGAAGTTATGAAGACTAAACAATGCAGTAGAACCCAACCTTCATGCCTTTGGTTGGTTGCCAGCCTATGCCAGTCCCCCCTCGCCCCCTGGGGGTCCTCTTAGCTGGCATCTATGATCCCATGGCTTGGGATGCCATAGGATGCAGTAGAAAGTTTGGAGGATGTTATAATTAACTTCAATAAACAGCCGCCATAGGTGGAAAGATTCTTGAATGGTTGCCAATTTGCATCGGATTGGAAAAGAGCTGTGCACAGAATTTTATCTAACATTTCACACCAGTTCCTGAGGGCATTGTATTTGAGGGAGGGTGGGAATGCATTCTGTTTGTTTGTACTTTAAAAGAGGGGTGGGGAGAAGATTCAGACTGAAAGTTTTTCACACAGTATAAGTGGGGAAATGGTTCACAAATCTCAAATCTAATGGGAAAACAGAGGAATTCATGGGAAAGAAGCCAATTGTATTCTTAGACAGAATTCCCTTCTTTCTTTTCTTGTTTTTATTCCAACGAGGAGCAAACCAGACTAGTCCATGACAGAGGAAATAGAACCATAATAATACATTCATCAGTTAAGAGAACTGTTTTGGAATGGGTCTTTAAAAAGGATCATTTGGGGGTTCATTAGGTAAATTTATTTTTTGAACATTTGTACCATTATTGTTTCTTAACGCAGATATTGATGAGTGCCGTGAGATCCCAGGTGTATGTGAGAATGGAATCTGCATAAACCTGGTTGGTAGTTTCCGCTGTGAATGTTCAGGGGGGTTCTTCTACAATGACAAGTTACTGATCTGTGAAGGTAAGGAGCTTCTACTCAGAATCACATACACTATGTAGAGATAGAAATAACACTGCTTGCAGCCAAGAAGGCTAGATTCTCAGAGAGTCTCATGAATCAGATGGATTTTGGAAATTGGATATTTGTACTATCAGTGGATATATTAAGGTGAGAGAGACCTCTGATTCTTCTGATCCTCTTTCAAACTGTTTGTTGATGGAAGGGGGATGCTGCTCCCCATTTGCCAGATTATATGGAAGGAAGGCACAAATGTTTATGACCTACAATACTGTGCAAATGGTCACCCTCATTCCCAGATCCAGAGAATTCTGTTACACCCTTGCTAACATGGCTGTGCAGTATTTCGGTTTCAGTTCCTAGCACTTGTCTGCAATTCATTAAAATTCACCTCTTCCCAGGATTGTATGGTTGCAACAAAAGCCTTCTTGCAGCAGCTGCACAATATGTCTGCTTTAACACACTCGTACTGTTGCATATTCCTCTTCTGAAATGAATAAGAAGTGTTGCACAGCCCTAATCTCTAATACCGCTGAGAATCATACAATTCTAAGACTTTTTTTTGCTTCCAATAGATATTGATGAATGCCAGAATGGACCAGTTTGTCAACAAAATGCAGATTGTGTTAATACACCAGGGAGCTACCGCTGTGATTGCAAACCTGGTTATCGGTTCACACCTGTAGGCCGATGTGTTGGTAAGTACTGACATGGCATTGTACAATATTGTAAAATGTATAAGTATACTAATTAATTGCAGGAATGAGGTTCCCTCTTTTAGAATACACATAAAAAAGACACAAAAGCTGCATTAAAAACCCTGTATTTTAAAATGCAATGCCATGTTATCTTGGCCTTGAGTCTATAAACTTGTTCTTTCCACTCATATAGATGCCAGAGAAACCTTGCAATATTTTGCTTTCTTAGACTGAAAAATTCAGTAACAGCCTAGCCAAAGAGAATGCACAGTCTTTCCTCAGCGTAACAGATGCCAGTTTTTTGCTAACTATAAAGTACTCAGTTTTAGTGATTTCATGTAAACATACTGTAATAATTTTTAACTCTGCGGCAACATAGACAACTGATTTAAAACACCAACCTCAAAATGTTTCTATAATACCTATTTAAAAGATTTAGTTTCCTTCTTGGTGTCAAAGGGCAGATGTAGTTTTATTTAGTTTTATAGCTTTGTCTCTCTGTGTCTCTCTTGCTTGTAGGGAACTGAAAGTAACTAACAACAATAAACATCAACTGACACGTCATAACAATAATTAATATCTCCATAATTAAACTCAAATTGAAAAGGCCAAAGAGGAAGGTCTCAGTTCTTTTTGTAAAAATGAAAGGAGTGGGGGCTGAGCTCAATTCCATGTACATGTCAGATGGACCTTGGAAAGTGGAGATATCTTCATATTGGTCCATATCAAGTCAAGTACTAAGCTACACAGTGTTTTAAGATGAAAATTAACACATTAAATTGTTCTTTGAAAACAGCCTAGAATAATCCAGGGTAGCACCTTTTCTTCTTCTTCTTCTTCGTCGTCGTCATCATCATCATCATCATCATCATCATCATCTCTCTTGCTCTCTCTCAATGAATGAATGAATGAAAGAAAGAAAGAAAGAAAACATGGCCATTTACTGATTTGTGTGAGGAAAAGGCTTCCCCAAATCAGTCTGTCTGAGGTTCCTCAACTTCTTTATTTTTCCTCCCTCTTTGTGCTTAAAGGATGTACTCTTTAAACTTATTCTGTAAGTTATCCCTTTCTTAAGGGATACAAAAGCTAAAGCTAGCTGTGCTAGACCTAATTCCAGATGGGTATAGATCATCTGTTTCCTCTGGAACGGTACAGTAAGAAAAATGGTTCAGTTTAAGTCCTTCTTCAGCTAAAGCTGACCATTGAGAGAGATCTTACCTCCTATATTCCATAGCTTCCATTTCTTTCCCTTCATCTAGTTCACTGCCACTTCAAAATATCACTTGATTATTTTAACTATCTCACTGTCTCATCTCATTCAGATATAAAAGAGAAATGAAGTTGGGTGCCGTCAGTATATCCTTGACCCTTCATTTCAGATTCCCAGATACCCTCACTGAAGAGTTTATTATAGTTATTAAGATAAGAATAGTATTCTTCAGGATCTTTAGTGTAAATGTCACAGGACTGAGGGAAGCTGCCAGTACTGTGTGCTCTAAGCAACAAGAAGAATAATAATGCATTAAACGTGTGTGTTGCCTAACTCCCAACTACGCTGGGCTATCTTCAAGTAGGCTTGGAAGTCATTAATCCCCAGTCCAGAGAGCCTTGGTTTATGAAGTTCATTGGTTTTGTTCCTTCAGCTAATATTTCTAATTTTAAGACTATTAAGACTAATATTAAGACTATTCATGAAAGTTTTAGAACTTGCACTAATCTGACCATAAGCTGTGCACTTCCATGTAAACATTTTGTAGTGTTTATGCTATGGTGTTTTCCATAGACTAGAATTCATTGACCACCAATTAATAGGAAACTCTAATACTTCTATCATTATTATTAGTAGTAGTATTTTCTCGGACATTTTCTGAGCAGTATTTGAGGGAAGAGCACCTTTTCCTATAGATCTGTGGTCTTTGCAGGAAAAGGGTCTAAAAGCAAAAGTGGATTTTCACTTTCAGATTGAAATTTTGCATTCTTCAGGAACATGTGGTGATTTAGCATAATTAAACTATAAACCCCTTCACTGAAATAGAAACAGGAAGCTCCAGATCAAAAGTTGATAAAACCAACAATGTGCCTTAATATGTGTTGGCATAGAGTTTATTTCCCTAAATTTTGCTCAGGCTTCTATAGGAAGAGAAAGTAAAGGGCAATATTAGCTGCTTGATAAGTATGTTATTTTAAATAACACTCATGCAGAAAGATATAATAAGTTGAACTTGTTTATGAATACATACATTTTTAATCTGTCATACTGTTAGGATTGCATTAATTTTTCTTAATAATGCTTTAGAGGAGCTATTTAGGTGCCAAATTGTTCTACTTCAACTCGTCATAATATTTTCCAAAAGTTTAAAACTAGTTTAAAACGAGTGCTTTGTGTTCCTGTTGAAAAATAAGTTAGTGGAGGTTCCGTGCTTTTAGGGATTGAAGAATTAAGTGTGCAAAGCTGTTTTTTCCCCATTGTTCTCTTGCTGAAAGCTTCTGGAATTTTTAAGCTATCTATTATTACAGATCGCAACGAGTGTGCAGAGATACCTAATATTTGTAGCCACGGTGACTGCATAGACCGTGAGGGAGGTTATATCTGTCGTTGCCACACTGGGTTCAAAACCAATGAAGATGAAACTATGTGTATGGGTATGTATGTATTTATATTTTTACCTTTGTGAATAACAGAAAGGCAATGTGAATTGTGGGTCATTTTAACAAATGTGATGTGGATACATAAGGCTCCTACCCTGACCCTATTTAAATAAGGCTTTAGAACCTGGGTCTACCCCCATGCCCTGGGTCAGAGTGGGTGATGGACCCCTTGTATGATGTTTTGGTCTTTTGAATACTTGTTGGTTTTTCCAAACTTCTCTTTTTGATTATGTAATTCTTTGTTTTAACTTTGGTTTTAAATTGTTATATTCTGTAAGCCACCCAGAATTGTGACAGATAAATTTGGTCTTCCTTGCAGAAACATCTTAGACCGAGGAAAGAAATAATATCCAGTCATACCCCAAAAAGCCATGTCTGCAGAAGAATTGCTAATATTTTTCATCTTTCTTTCATGCCAAATTAATTTTACACATGTTCAGATTCCTTCACCTCAGTTTTCATCTCTTGTTTAGGTTTGTACCTTTCAGTGTGAGACAGACCCCCTTGATCTATCCCACTTCTATTTTGGATTTTGATTAATCCAGTTAATCCAGTTTCTCCCTCTCAGTACAATATGGATGGATTCATCTTTCTGTATAACTCGTAAATAGCATAGGGAATTTTGTTCGTTTGTTTTGCAAAAGCCATGTTTCTGGGATTTATTCTCCTTTCTCAAGGTTATGTGTGATTTAACCAATATATCCAACTTCATTTTATCTTGACTCATGGTAGTTAACTGATTTGTATTTCTTTTGAGTTGTAAAAGATAGACATAAAACATTCTGAATGTTTTATTCTGTTCACAGATATTAATGAATGTGAAAAAGATCCCTGTGGAAATGGCACATGTAGAAATACAGTTGGCTCTTTCAATTGTCGATGCAATATAGGATTCATCTTATCCCACAATAATGACTGTATAGGTAAGAAAATTTTTCAATAGTGCAGTTGAAATTTCATAGTCGATCATTTAAAAATCACAATTACATATTGGGTAGGATGAATAGGCCAATTTATTTTGGCAAGTAATTTGGAGCCCATAAGAATTATCTGAGTAAGTAATAATAGTAATAATGAATTATTAGAAGAAGCAGTTCAAAGTTCTGCTGATGTCAACCTACCAAAAAACACATGGAATCCTTCAGATATTTGTTAGAGAAAAAGGGCATTCTCTGTCCTCCATGGATTTCCATCATACACAGCAGGAAGCTAAATGATTTCTTCCTGTGGATGGGCTGCTGAATCAAGAAAATTGCCATACCCTGATATCGAGGAAGTTGGAAGGTTACTGTAGTTCATTAATTTAAACAGGAATTTATGGTAAGAAATAACCCAAATTTGTAACAGTAATTTAAAAGACCAAATCTATTATCTCTAGAGGATGTTGAAACAGAAGTAGGAGAGGCTAACATTTGGAGTTCTTGGAATATGGTTATATCAGTTAAGATTTCTGATATGTTGACAGGCCATGCCCTAGACTGAGTTCAGCAATTCTTATTTGGAACAAGACTTTCTCGAGTCATAGGCAGCTTTTGACAAATGTGATATGGAAGACAAGTAGAATTGAATCAGTCTAATTGAATTCAGTATTATGCCATTGGTGGAAATCCTCTTTTTGTAAAGGCAGTTGTTGTTCTGAACTTTTATTTGCATCCATTCCCCCTTTTTATCTTTTCCCTTACCTCTTCCTTTCTTTTCTCCTTTTAGACGTTGATGAATGTGCCACTGGAAATGGACATCTGTGCAGAAATGGCGAATGTGTTAACACTGTTGGGTCTTTCAGATGCCTTTGCAATGAGGGTTATGAGATGTCTCCTGATGGAAGGATTTGTATTGGTACGTCATGAAATTAATCACGGCATTTGCCATATTTCAATTTAAAGGGTTGATATTTCCATATGTAATGGTGAAGAAGATCTAGATGTTCTACTGAAATTGCAACTCTTTTTAGAAAGAGCTTATTGGGGAATATAAATGCAGTTACAAATGCTTCCTGTTCAGCCAGTGCCTTCTAGTATATCAGAGAATTTTGTTTACAAAGAAAATCCTTTTTGAACTTTACAATTACCTCACAGTCTCTAATTTATAATGTTTTTAATAATACAATTGGAATTTAAGAGAGACATAAACATCTTTCTCTCTTAGGAAGGATATTTATCTTTATAAGAAGAAAATATGTAATATTGTGTATCGTGTACTATTGCTTGTTCATCTGCCTATATAGTGAGAAGCACATAATCAAAGCCTTGCATAAGCTTAATTTCATCTAGCTTGTTGATAGATTTCATATTTATGATAAAACAAATTGAAATTTTAGGAATATGATTTAGGCAAACCCAAGGAATAGAAAGAGAGAACAGTATATCAGAAAAAGTGGTGTTACAATGATTGGAAAACATATTTTCATAAAAGTATCTGAAGATAAGCATTTGAGATAGAGAACTGTTTCAGGACTGAGACCACAATATAGAATCACTACATTCCATTTACATTAAGCACTTTAATACCATTAACTTTAAATACATGGATATGTGCTTAATTTTTTCCAGGTGAAAAACATTATGCTACAAGACTTTTCGTCTTCTTCCTCCCCCTCTCAGCACTCTGCATCCTCCAAAATCTGTTTTAAGGAAGAGGGTCTCAAATCCTCTGGAGTAAATTTGGGAGATTTTAGTCAGGAAGATCCCATCTGCATCCATGTGCTGTTGGATGAATTATGCCTGTTTTGGTGGCAAATTCTTGATATGCACATCTATGATGTTGCTTTATTTCATCCATATTTTCTTCCTAATAAGAATGATTCCATTCAGTTAGTTCCTGTCAAGATGATATGTTTTATTATATTATCAAGTTTCTATTAGTTGCATTACAACTGTATATTGTTAAATGAAATATTTTTTAGCCTATGATTTTTTTGAAGTCAGTCTTTCTCCTTGTTTTTGTTTTAAAAAAATCAGTGTAAGCTTTGCTAACAAAAAGAGTAGCACTAGGACTTATGAAAGTAATAAGAACTCATTATTGCTTTATTTTTATCTTCTTACAGATATCAATGAATGTGCATTAGATCCTGGTAAATGTGCCCCTGGTACATGTCAAAATCTGGATGGCAGCTATAGATGCATCTGTCCCCTTGGATTTGCCTTACAAGATGACAAGTGTGTTGGTATGTAATGGGAATTCTAGATATCAAAAGAAGTAGAGTAAAGTTCCTTTCCTTAATTCTAACCCTAACCCTAACTTTAACTCCCAGAATTCCCCAGCCAGCATGTTGGAGTTGAAGTCCACACATCTTAAAGTTGCCAAGGTTGAGAAACACTGTCGTAGAGTATCTACTGGAGAGAAAGAACTGGGGCTAACTTATGGCAGAGTCAAAAATTGCACCAAGAAATTCGTGGCTCATTACTTATATTCTCAGAATCCATACAGGTGTAATATGAAATGGGCCAGTGCCTTTAATGCCTGTATTTGTGTGTATATGTTTTTTTCTTTTAACCCTAACAGCAGTAGATGACTTAATTGGATTAGTACCATAACATATAGGAAGAGGATTTAACACTCTTCCTAATGAAAAGTTCCCATCAGAGCTTCTATGGGTTCTAAAGAGGAAAGCTTCCAGTGATGCTACGAGGTTGTTTGAAAAGTAGTTGGGTTGAAGCTTAGAAGTCTGCTGTTTAAAAGGAAGTGTTCAGATGTCACAATCAGCATCCTATACTTATGAACGCATCTTAAGTTACTGTTCCTACCCTCCATGGTCAGTTTAATTATCAGAGTTTCAAATAACTTGCATTTAGATACTGAGAGATCAGAGCTCCCCACACCAACACTTCTTGTATGGCAGAGTTGTGCACTGTCCTTCCACTGGCAAACAAGACATTGCATTAGGACAATTATTTTAAGAGATGTCAATTGTGGCCCTCTTTCCAAGAATCCACAGTAGCATGGAAGCTCCTTTCTCAAACCGTGGCCTCATATTGCTGGTGGCTGAATGAAGTAATTTATGTTAGAAAGGTCCACATGATTTACCCTACTGCCCAGAGTATCAGAAATGTGAGACTAAACTGTGAAGAAACGGCCACCAGGGTTTAAATGAATGAGATTACCTCATTCCTATTAGGGAATGCCTATTAGGGAGGTGTTACTAATGATGTGTTATGAACGCATACTCAGCACATTTAAACAACCTATCAAAGACCTGGAAGCCCAACAGGACCAGTCTGCTCTACCTAAAAACATTTTTCTCAGCAGTCAAGCCCCTTTTACAAACCAGCGAGATACTTACACCACATAACTGTTTCCAAATTCCAAAGACAACTAACTTTAGCACGCTTCAACACTCCCCACAGCAGTTTTGGCAGGCTGATACAAAACAGTCCCCTATGAGTTGAGGCTGTGCCCCTGTGGAGAAGGGGCTGTTGAAACTACAGCTCATGCCCTGCTACGCTGTTGCCTCTATAAAGACTCAAGGACCCGCCTTATAACTCCTTACTTGGTAAAACACCCAGGAAATTCTGGTCTTTTTTATGTACAGTTGTTGTTATCAGATCAGTATGATTGATCATACGTTCAGTCTCCTTGAACGTAGCTAAATTTTGTTATACTACCTGTAAAATTAGGCAGACTTTTATTATCCACCGACAAACCCACCACCAATTGTAATGTTTCATCTTGTTTTGTTTTTACTCTATTTTTATTTTTAATGTGTTTTTGTTCGCAACTCTGATCAGTGACCGTAAAAAAAAATCCATTCATTACCTCCTAGCTTTAAATCAGGGTCCTGCAACAGTAGAACAGGTCTGGCGGAGAATGCAGGTTGCTGGCATTGCAAATGGTTCCTTATTCTGTTTGTAATTTTAAGTATACTTTCCTTACAGATATTGATGAATGTAAAGAAGAAGCAGATATATGTGCCTTGGGCACATGTAGTAATACTCTAGGCAGTTTTATTTGCCTATGTCCTGAAGGTTTCATAGTGTCCTCTACTGGACGAAGGTGTCAAGGTAAGTTTCGTACTTTATTTCTGTTGGAATCTATAAATTATAGCAATGGATTCCTTATGTATCTTTATAAACACTTATACCTATCACTCTCATTTTTTAATTTATTTATTTAGTTAATTTATTATGGCCACCCAACTAGCAAATTGTGACTCTGGGTGGCTAGCGTAGGATTGAAACCAAAACCAGCAGGATAAAAATAACTCCAAGAAAACATAGCATAAACAGTTTGTCTCGGAAACATTATTTTTCATACAAATCCTAAATATGATTACTCAAAAGACAGTCCTGCTCAATCCAGTAAAATTTATCCATGTCAGTGCAAAGAACTTTGCACCCTGCGTCTTGTTCCTGAGTACTAACTGTATGTTGAGTACTCAATATAACATCTGGATTTCTGGCTGCTGGAGGTTTAGGCAGGGTCACTCTAGGAATCATTCATTGAGGCTCAGAGTGCAGCTGAATCTCTTCCTCTGTGGTGGAGAAACAATGGCTCTTTCCAGGATTTTGGGCTGGTGACTCCACTTCAACATTCTGGCAATATCTTCTTGCTTCCTCCCACAGTTAGTATAATTAATTCTGCCTAAAAGTGGAGTTTATCAGAATTCCAAAACCACTTTGTGGTTTGGCATTCCTTACTTGGGTTGAAGAAAAAAAAAAGCCGGGGGGGGAGTGTTTTGTGGTCTAATTTTGTAGCTGAGTAAATTGGATATATCTTATCCATGTGGTTTTATCCTTTCCTATTGAACAGCTCTAAATGAAGTCATTAAAAAGAACTCCATGGGAATTTCATTTAGGAATCCTTTTTTTCCCCTTTATTAGTGATTATTTTATGGTTCTAAAGCTTTCAGATCTGAAAGCTTAGAAGTATTGGAGAACAATTCATTAATCTGAGTGATTCTTCACATGCTTCCATTAAGAAACAATAATCATAAATAATTCTACACTATTGCTGCTATTCTTTCATTTCTTCCATTCTTAACCTTTTAGAAATATTCTTTTCCAGCCTATAAACATGATAGCAGCTTTTAGATAATTATCTAAATTACACAAGGATTTTGATTAAGATTGTCTTGGCAGTTTTTTGCCTTTCAGTAAATCTTCTAAAGTTAATTGAGTCCATCTTTCAGAAAGCATTTGGAAGATAAGGAGTCCATTTGAAATCCCCCTGCTGTAATTCTTCATTATGAAATTCTTTACATAGCCTATAAAATTCTTAATTCTTTCCAATTCTTTATTAGCTAGTGATGAATTTTGCACTATGGTTACTACGCTTTTTAAAAAGATGGTCCATTAAAAACTCACTTGTTTTCTTTTTTTATCCTTATCTGTGAAATAATGGCAGCAATAGAATCATACTAGATTCATAAATAGGAGTACAGATTCTGATTGATAAACTAAACTAATAAAGCTTTAGTTTGTTCATAGCCTCAATCTTTAAGTGATGGAGAATGAAGTGTAGGCAAAGTTGCTTATTCTAGAGGCTATTGTATTCAGGTGGTACAGAACAGAAAAAGTTACATTAACCTTTTTCTCTGACAACAGAAATAATTATTTTTATTTTAAAAAGCAGATAGTATCAAACTTTATTTAAATGCAGTAGCCTAATCTGGTAAATTATCTGTTTACCAAATATTCATCACAGTAGATTGCTTAAATAAATGAATTGTTGCTGGAGATTTTTTTCCCTTACTTTTTGACTAAGATAACACCTTTTAAGCTATAACTCAATGTGATTCCTGCCCAGTGAACTAGACGAGTGATTGGTTTTGCAATTAACATTCAGGGTGTTTTCTTGCCAACCAGAGATGTTGCCAAACATTTAAGATGTTGTCTCTTAGATACTTGTAGTTTCTCTAGTGCTTAGATTATTTGACATAGAAGACCCCTTTGTGGTGACGCAAAACCATAATGCTTCACCCTCTCTTCACTCACAGACCGTTTGGACAACTGTACTTGAAGAGAGAATTCCAGGATTTTTCATCTCTATAACCTTATCACTAGAAACCAATTTGAGCTTTCTTCTTGGCTCTGATCTAATCTTAAATTAACATGCATTTCATCAGACTAAGAATAAATCAGTACTGAGGAACTGGAAATAAGAGAAATGATCTATTTGCCTGCCATACTGCCTTCTAGGTAAAACATCAGCAAGGCCCCATGGGTCTTGTAAATTCAGCAAACAAATCTAAGACAGTTCTTGTTTCTGTAAAAGGGATACCTTAAATCCTTTTGATAATTTAAAGTTGAAAAGTCAGTCACTCATTCGAAAACACAACAACCATAAATATAGTCAGTTAGCGTGGGGCAAGTCTTGGTCTCTTTTATTACCAA